CCCCAAAACCCCAAAACCCCAAAACCCCAAGTTTAGCAAGCAAATAATAATACTAGCTAATAAAGTATAATAATTATGAAAGCATCGGATAATCGATATGGCTATAAACAGACTGAAGAGGACAGAGGATACAAAGTTCCGGTTCTCTCTGAGCTAGACAGTGATTTTTCCTATGAACAATATAATCGTAAAAAAGGCTTGCTAGGTAGGTGTTTGCTTTCTGTAAATTTTTTGATAATGAAGGACAACGGTTACTTAGATTTAACAAAGTGACTAATCATTTTACACTCTTTTATCATAAAGAAAGAAATTTTATCTAGAAAAAGAGCGAAATATGGACCTATATGTTGACCAAAGCATGGATAGCTTCTGTAACCAAGGCTTTGATGATTTGATCCAAGATCAAAATAAAGTAAAAGTGTACCAGAATGAAGACGAGTAATTTATAAATCTAACATCCTTTTAGTAGCTCCGAGGAGTCTGTTGGCCTTAACAACACAGAAATTGAAGAAGACTCCAAATTTCAAGACTGAAATTACAGGGATAACTCTCAATCAGTGCCTCCTATGGGAGATCAAGATTTATGTGGTAATTTCTTAAATAACCAATAGACGATAAAGGATTCACTCATTCAACAGTTGACAATAAATTTGATTCTGATGTTCAGAATCTGGACCTAAATCATCCAAACTTAATCACAGCAGAAAAGAGCAAAGTAGAAGAGTTTTTGAATAGTCCCTTCCAAGCTCCTCTCAAGAAGCGGAAAGAAGACAGAATGAGTAATTCCGACCCTTTCATGCATAGATTCCTCTAGAAAATTCAAAGAGTCTCTTCAAGCACGAAGAATTTTGGAAGAAAATACTGAAACAGAGGAGCTAGATTATCATCCAGCTATTGAACAAAATCCAACTGAAATATGCTCACATTCAGATAAGAAGAACCCTCGGAAGGATGTTACTGTAAGAAACTGACTAACAGCTTAGTATAACGATACACCTACAGAGAAAAGATATTCAATCAGAGAGAATTGAAGGTACTCTGAATCTGAAGAAGATGACTTCAAGGTACCCTAATAAACCTCATCTACAGGAAGAAAAGATGCATCTCACAAAGCCAGAGAGTAAAAGTTCACAGAACTCCCAGTTATGAGTAAGTCTAGGCTATATTTCCCTTCAGAAATCTTGAAGGCCAGTAGTTTCCTAACTAACTTTACTTTACTAGAACAACCAATTAGAAACAAAGGAGATTTCAGAGTATGAGCTGAGGGCAAAAATGGAAAGTACAGACCAAAGCGAGACTAGAAAAGCTATAATTAGTTCTACCAGAGAAGACCAAGAAGAAACTAAAGCACCGAATGAGGACCTCTCCACTAAGCCTATCATTCAAGGACAAAAATATCAGGTCGATCTTGGATCAGTTATTACCATTGAGCAAAAGTTATGGTGCATACTGGAAAGCTTCTCTTCTAAAGGAGGTGACACCACTAATGTTTTCGAACACTGTGAAGAATGGTGGGACCTTGTGAACTCAACTACTCTCAGCATAATCCACTCGATATTTTCAGATGACGAGCTTCGAAGAGCTTTGAGGAGGTCTTCAATACTAGAGTTTTTATCCATAACAATGATAAACTTCTTGTCATCAGAAAGTAAAGCTAATTCTGAACTTCATGGAAACTTGAAGGTGCTCACATTCTACGTACATCAAAATTATCTTCAGCTTATCACATGAGTCATTAAGAAGTTGCCTCCTTACAATGACAAAAATATTTGGGTGAAGGCTCTGAAGAAGATAATTAGGAAGAAAACCTCAAAAGAGATTCTGAAAAAGTCTAACTGCGAAACTATCAAAGAGAATAATAATGTCATAATGGCACTAGTAGAGCATATTGGGAAGAACCAGAGAAAGTACCTAAAGAGTATTGAAAACCAAAAGGATATTCGGAAAGCAACAAAGCCTATCTTCAGCACATCATTAAACATCTTGAAGTACTTAAACAAGATGTCTATCCAGAAGGCCAAGACTTTGATCACCAAGGCTATAGAAGCAACGAACAAATTGATAATTGACGGAATGTCTTCCCAACCTAACAATCTGCTTCATGTGAATTCTTCAGGAGATGAGAATTCATGAGAGATTGTTCATGTAACTAAGACACCTTATTTAGGCCCTTCAACAAATAAATCTAAATATTCACTGGTCCTTGATCTTGATGAGACCCTTGTGCATTATGTAGAGGATGACAAGAATTCTAAATTATTGATTCGTCCTGGAGCACAACAATTCCTTCATAACATGGCTGAGATTTATGAGATCATCATCTTCACAGCAGCAATGCAGGATTATGCTGATTGGGCTATTGATCAGTTAGATACAGGCAACTGGATCTCTCATAGGCTCTATCGTCAGCATACCTCTTTACATAATGGGTCTTATATAAAAGATCTATCAAGAGTTGGCCGAGACCTCAACAGGACCATCATAGTTGACAATGTAGCAGATAATTTCCAAAAGCAACCAGAGAATGGAATTTTGATCAAGAGTTGGTATGACGACCCTGACGACGATGCCTTGTTTGAGCTAGGACCTCTATTAAAGCTTATTGTCTCACGGAAAGAAGAAAGGCATAATAAATCACAATAGACACACTCCTAAGTTTTCTTAAGAAATCTCCAAAATTATTTCAATTTTCTTATCTAATGTCGGGGTTTTGGGGTTTTGGGGTTTTGGGGTTTTGGGG